TGGCACCTCCCGAAGCTCCTCATCCCTTTCATCCTGTCTTATTAGCTCAGTATACGAAGCTGGATGTTCGACCATTTCTTCATCCTCAACCACAGCCGGCATCGAGGACAGCCAATCGCCTGAGGCGACGGCAGAACGATGAAAGCCTTCCTGAAGCGGTGAATCGTTCAAATCGTAATCCTCATTCCTCTGTTTCTCGAGTTGAGGTGCAGGAGTCCGTCCTGTGGGCTCTCGAACGTGCTTCGCCTGAGATTGATGTTCGATATCAGCCTTGACCGCCTGAGGCGTCAGGTCAGTTGCATCAACATCTGAACCATCTGGGGACCACCTCTCGCCTTGGGCGGGGTGGCCTGCATCCATTAACGAGGACAACTCTCGACTCAAGGGAACTCCTTTATTGGCGTATTCAGAATCTTCCTCCATGGAGTTTATCTCATGCTCTCTGTCAAGTGGCTCGTCACTATCTTGGCCGATCTGTCCGGTCAGTGCTATTGGGATGGGAAGAGTTCCACTCGTGCCTCCCCATCCGTCTGGGACGTTGGGGCACGCGCTTGTGGACTCGTGAGCTTCTCCCGACCCGCTGGCTTCACCAGCGGCCGGCGCGATTGTCTGTGTAGCAATCGGGAAAGGACTTATCGTATCCGATGACTCGGCGATCAAAGACGAGAATGCTCCTCGTCTGGATCTTGCTGTTATGCCATTCCGTCTATGCGGGTCTGGGGTTTGTTCGCGATCACCAATCGGAACTCTCTAGAGGGAGAACCATCTTCCGACAAGTCATCAACCTCTCCGCTACTCCTATCCCGAGAGACCCGAGTGGCGATACTAGAAGAGGGAAGGCGGCCCCGCCCCGGGCCGCTCTCTTGTAGTTCATGTCCGTCACGTCGTACAACTTGCTGTTCAGCGTTTCGCGAAGTGACGGACATTTCACATGTCTCATCATAGCTCATACCCGTAGCGACTATGTCGCGGGGTTCGTCTGATAGCCAGTCTCCTGGCTGGATCAAACCCGTAACGACTATGTTGCGGCTTTCGGCTGATATCCAGTCTTTCCTCTGAGAATCGGGGTAAGATGACAAAGGAATTACGGTCTCGTGTTCACTCTGCTCAGTGGAAGAGGGTACGGGATGAGACATCGATAAGACAAGTAACCGGTAAGCAAATGTACTCTATCAGGAATAGTAAGTGAGGAGGCCGGCCGGCCGACGACACGACTACGACGAGGGAACGACCCCTCGGCGCGCGCGTGCGAGCCAGCACACTCCTTTTATCTCCTTTGAGCACACATACAGTTGCAGTATGCAGTATACGTTATAGTCAGACAGTGCGCAGCAAGGCAAGCGATATAATAAGCAACATGAAGATGAGGCGGAGAGGAGCATATTTACTTCATCATCATCACCACCACGACCACCGCCACCACCACCATCATCATCATCATCATTGGCATCACCATCACCATCACCATCACCGTCATCATAATCGTCATCCACATCATCATCATCATCATCATCATCATCATCATCATCAGCATCAACATCATCATCAGCATCATCAGAATAAGCATCAACAGCATCATCATCAGCAGCAACATCATCATCATCATCATCAGCATCATCATCAACATCACCACCACCACCACCACCACCGTCATCATCATCATCATCGTCATCATCATCATCATCGTCTTCGCCATCAGCATCATCATAGTCAGTATTATCACATTCATCATCATCGTCAGCATCATCATCTTCATCATCATCATCACCATCATCAGCATCATCGTCATCAGCATCATCAGCAGCAGCATCATCATCTCATCACCATCATCATCGTCAGCATCATCATCAGCAGTAGCATCAGCATCAGCAAAGTCATCATCAGCATCATCATCAGCAGCAGCATCAGTGTCATCATCATAATCATCAGCATCATCATCGTCAGCGTCATCATTATCAGCAGTATCATCGTCAGTATCATCAGTGTCATCATCATCAGCAGCATCAGCATGATCATCAGCATCATCATCAGCAGCAACATCATCATCATCAGCAGCAGCAGTCGCAGAAGCAGCAGCAGCAGCAGCAGCGTCATCATCATCATCGTCATCAGCAGCATCATCATCAGCATCAGCATCATTATCCTCATCACATCATCCTCATCATCATCATCGTCGTCGTCGACGTCATCATCATCCTCATCATCATCATCGTCGTCGTCGTCGTCATCATCATCATCAGCATCATCAGCATCATCAGCATCATCATCATCATCATCATCATCATCCACCCCTCCCTGCTGTTTATTGATAGTTCATCCCTATCGCCCCCCCCCGTCCCCCCGTCCCCCCCAGACATGCCAGTAGGGCGAACCAGGCGTGTCGCCTGAGACTTCCTCTGCGCTTACGACTCTGAATATCGAAATCTGTAACAACTCCACGGATGAAATCCTGCGGCAGCTACACTGGTGGGAGGATGTTCCTTTCCAACATGGGGCTCTCGCAGTACCGCTGCGCACAATCGTTTCGAAAGCTTGTAACAATTAGAATGATGGAGGGTGTCCTGTTTCGGAACGGGGCTCTCGCATTAGCGCCAAGCACATGCGTCGCGAAAATTGGCTACAACTACGGGGATAAAGGGGGTCGTTTTCAAAAACCGGGGCTCCTGTCGTAGCGCCACGCACATCCGTCTTAAAAGTTTTCAACAACTTCGAGGATATAGGGGATCCGGTTAAAAGTAGAATTAGCGCCTTAGCACCGCACACATTCGTTTTACATGTTTGCGGCACTCGCAAGGCTGGACGATGGCTCATGTTCAGAATGAGGCTCTGCTCTCGCTTGAGACTTCCATAAGTTTGGAACCACCTATAGCGGCTGCACGGATGGGGGCAGTTAACTTTCAAAGTGGAGTTATCCCTGAAGACTTCCTTGAAAACCATGGCCACTAGTAAAGGCGCACAACTGTTACATGGACGAGCTGGTCTTCTTCGTACCGTGTATATCGCTGGACAGCTCGCTCCACTGCACGATCGTACCTCTTTGCGTGCCATATTCTTCGCTAGAAGGATGCGAAACAGTTTCATTCAAAAACGGGGCTGTAACCTGAATGGCAGACCGATCCGATGCTGGTCTTTCAAGAGGCGTTTCATGTAGTGTGAAAGGAAAACTCGTAAGGATTGATGAGGAATGGACGCCGTATGGGAGGTGTATTGCAATATCGTTGATGCATATTGGGTTTAACCTGGTTTCCCTCTTCGTGTTGCTTTGCCCTCCTGCATCCTCCTCATCCCACCTCGTTTTCCACCTCGCCCACTGCGGACAGACGGAACGCTGGCGAACCTCGGCGGGCCAGAAGGACAACCTCGGAGCTCGAGCCCCGAACGTCGAGATTCGAACATAAAGGTTTGAAATGTTTGCACGTTTTGAATCCTGTGTTGGCCTGTTGGAATATCGTCGCCAAATTTGGATTGCCCTCGAATATGGCTTGGGCGTTAGCAAACAAAAAACGACCATGAGGATCAACTGCATTTACGACCTTAAGACGTCTTGATCGGGCACTGCAAACGCCAAGCTGTCACAAGAAAGATAAACATGTTCCCTCGCACACCGGGACAGGCAATCCGAAAGGGCACTCGCAGAAGTCGGGGACACTCGATCGGGGGGGGCAGTCCGGAACTAGGAAGGAAGGGGATTCGTCCCTATGGGGATTCACGAACGGCGGCTGGGGAAGGCAAACAGGAAGTACGAAGAGCAGGAGGAGCAGGAATCAGGAGAGGGCTGCGGGGCGTTACGCTCCTCCACCCCCGCACCCTCCTCCTCCTTCCCTCACCCCTCCCCGAATTTGTTTTTACCAATTGGCAGTATCAGCCTATCCCACTCCTCTGTGTCCTCACCAACACCATCATCATCATCGTCATCATCACCATCATCATCGTAATCACCATCACCATCATCAGCATCAGCAACATCCTCACAGTCGTCAACATCATCACCGCCTTGCTCTTCATCCTCAGTTCCACGCCATCATCATCCTCCTGCCCACGTTGACCCTCATCCTCATACGCATCCTCACAGTCGTCGTCACGTTCGTCCTCGCCCTCGCCGTTCTTCGCATCGTGGTCCTCGCCCCCGTCTTCATCTTCATCACTCTCGCCACTCCCACCCCACTCAGCATCCTCTGAGCGCACGATGTCCTTATGAAGCTGACCCAGTGGGAACAGCGAGGAGGAGGCCGAGAAGGAGAAGGAGCGAGAAGCGAAGGGGAGGATGAGGAAGCATCCCACGCACCTGACCAAAATTTGCTGGAGCAACTCAACAGGCAAAACATCTGTATCATCTTCGCAAAAGCTTCGCAATCGTCAGTCGACGACGTCATTCGGACGCCATCACCGCTGGCATCGCCGCTGCCGCCGCCTTGACCATCGTGGCCACCACGAACAGCAGCATCAAAATACTCGTCATCCCGACGACGCCGTCCGCATCATCCCTCGCTCGCTAGAGCACATGGATCTGCACGAGCATGGTTTGCACGGTGGTCCTTGTCGCTGAATTGATCGAGCACTTTCGGATTGGACTCGGGTGCGTCGTGCCGCGATGCCTGTTCTGGTACACTATCACCACGCGCATGCGCTGCATCGATATTCTGGCACGTACGAACCGCGCGCGCCAACCCCAACATCGATGCACAAAACAAAGAAGACACGCACCCGACCAAGACAGGGGGGACCAGCATTAAAAACCACTTTAACAAATGCCAAAACAGCGCGTCCAGAAAACATTTGGGCTCTGTACTGGAATTCTATGTGGCGTTGGTCCGCGACGCCAGTGCCGAAGGAGGCGGCCGCGGAGGAGGGGAACAACGGGGCGCATTTGGTTCCTACAGAAAGGACAGCCGTGCGCAGGAATGCCCTCCGACCCAAGCTGTTCTCTCCTCCTCCTCGACGGGAGGGGGGCATGGGCCAGAGGTGAGGAGGCGCATTCGCTTTCGCAGCCGCTGGGGAGCCCCTGCAGCTTCTGCCGCAGCCTGGCCTGCAGGAGCCGCTCCTGGGGAGAGGCAGGAGAAGGAGGAGCAGCAGCAGCAGCGACTCGAACAGATCGATGCGGAAACGTGTTTTGCCGATTGGGCCTTCGGAAACTGGTGTCGGGTCTCTAAACTGTCAAACAAAAGTTAGGATGAACAAAACGGCATTGGGGAAGGGGGCATAAGGTGGGGGGGGGGGGGGGCGGACGATACGCATGATGTCTGGGGCGGAACGGCAGCAGTAACCGTAGGGAAGAAGCAAAAACCGGAGGATGAGCAGCAGCAGGATAGGGAAAGGGAAACCTCCCCTCTGCTCCTCCTTACATCCTTATCCTCCTCCCCCATCCCGACCACCTTCCCCATCAACAGTATCCCCTGTACCTTCCTCATCTGCATCCTCCTCTTCCTCCTCCTCCTCCTCCTCCTCCTCTCCTCCTCCTCCTGCTCCTCCTCCTCCTCCTCAACATCATCATCAGCAGCAGCAGCAACACCACCATTATCATCATCAGCATCATCATACTCATCAGTATCATCATCAGCATCAGCAGCAGCATCGTCATCGGCATCATCATCATCATCATCATCATCATCATCATCATCATCATCATCATCAGCAGCATCGTCAGCATCATCAGCATCATCATCATCATCAGCATCAGCATCCGCATCATCATCATCATCATCATCATCATCATCATCATCATCATCATCATCATCATCATCATCATCAGCGGCAGCAGTATCTTCAGTATTATCGCCATCATCGCCATCATCGCCATCATCATAAACATCGTCATTATTATCAGCATCATTGTCATCATCATCAACATCATGATCATCATCATCGTCAACATCATCATCATCATCAGCATCATCATCAGCATCATCATCATCAGCAGCATCATCATCATGACCATCATCATGATTATCGTCAGCAGCACCATCATCATCGTTGTCATCGTCATCGTCATCATCATCATCAGCATCATCATCATGTTCTCCTCTTCGTCCTCCTCCGCCTCCTCTTCCTCCTCCTCATCCTCTTCCTCATCATCATCATCATCGTCGGCAGCAGCATCAGCATCAGCATCATGATCATCATCATCATCATCATCATCATCATCATCATCACCATCATCATCATCATCATCATCATCATCATCATCATCATCATCATCATCATCCACATCAGCATCAGCAGCAGCGTCAGTTTCGCCGTCATCAGCATCATCATCATCCTCATCAGCATCATCATCGGCATCATCACCAGCATCAGCATCACCATCAGCACCATCAGCATCATCATCATCAGCATCATCAGCATTTGCATCAGCATCATCATCATATGCATCAGCAACAGCATCAGCAGCATCAACATCATCATCAGAATCATCAGCATCATCATCAGCATCAGCATCATAATCGACTCCATTATCATCAGCAGCATCGTCATCCTCATCATCATCATCATCATCAGCAGCAGCAACAGCATTATCAGCATTATCGTCGACATCACCATCATCAGAATCAGCATAACCAGTCATCACCATCAGCAGCATCATCATCATCGTCATCATCAGCAGCAGCATCATCCTCATCATAAGCGTCAGCATCATCATCATCAGCATCATCATCGGCATCGTCAGCATCATCAGCAGCAGCATCAGCAGCAGCATCGTCATCAGCAGCACCATCACCAACACCACCACCACCACCATCATCATCATCACCACCACCATCCTCCTCCTCCTCCTCCTCCTCCTCCTCCTCTTCATCATCATCATCATCATCATCATCATCATCATCATCGGCATCATCATAATCATCATCATCATCATCAGCATCATCGTCATCATCATCATCATCATCATCACCATCATCATCATCATATGCATCGTTATCGTCATCGTCATCGTAATCGTTATCGTCGTCGTCATCGTTACCGTCCTCATCATTATCATCGTTCTCTGTCTCCTCCCCCTCTCACATCGCAATATTATGTTCTCTTGCCCAACGTGTAGATCTGCAAGTGACAAAATATCATCTCGCCCCATACCCGTGTCAACCCGGCTCCCACCGAGGACACATCTCCCAAGCCCTCCCATCTCCCAGGAGGAAGCATCCCTCTCCCTCGCTCCCGCTCCCAGGTCCCCATTCCTGGCGGTGTGAAAAACGTGGAGGGTGCGGGGGGGGGCGGCTTACGAGGAAGGAGCACGCCGATTATCAAAAGCCTCTGCAGGAAAGCTTCTCGGGGGGAGGCAGTGTGCCCGAGAGGAAGCGGGCTAACCTCCCCGGGAGGAGGCCGCACCCCTCGCGCCCGCGCCCCCGACGAGGCGTCCGCTCGGACCCAGTCCGACGAGCCCTCCCAGGGCAGCCTTACGAGCCGCGTCCAGCCGTGGCGAGAATCCGCCGACCAGAAGACGCCGTCGTCGTCGTCGTAATCGTCGTAATCGTCGTCGACGTCGTCGTCGACCGTCCCAGGGAAGTGAAGGAGCAGGGAAAAGGAACGTCGTAATTGAGTCGAAGGGAAGCCCCTTCCCTTTGTGCCCTCTCTGCCCGGGGGGGAGGGGCACGGGGGGAAGCCCGGATCAGAATACCGCCCCCACGAGGTCAGCGGGGGGGTGGCAAGCGGGAGTCCCGAGGGAGGTCCCGCGTTCAGGGTCGGCGGCACCGGCCGTAAGACCTTCGCAACTTTGATCGGCGCTGGGCCCCCCTCCCTGGCGCGCGGAGCGCGCCAGGGGGCGGCATCAGGGGCACTGCTAGGGGGGGGGCCAGGGCAGATCCAAGAAATTTGCGCGGATCTGCGACGAAAGCTTATGTTATGACAAAGTTGTTCTTCGAGAGAGCCTCCAGAAGCGCACAAGGACCCCCAGAGCGACGTCGTCGACATCAACGTTATCGCGGTCGACGTCTTCGCCCCTCCGCCCCGTCTGCCCACCGCCAACATGTCCCTCTAGCCCTCCCCTGAGACCCGACGTTGTGGAAGAGTTAACAGATCGTGAAAAATCGCGGCAGGACCCCTGGACCCCATCTTCCCGCGGCACTTCTCGGGCCAGACCAACCTGTGAGGAACCCAGGGCCCGAGACGGCGCGAAAACGCTCGCCTCTGAGGACTCCTGGGGCCCTCCAGGCACGCCGTGCGCCTCCAGAGACTCGCAGGGACCTCCCGACGAGGGGTCTCTGCAGAGGCATTCGGCTGGCCCCGAAAGCGCCTCGGACGGCCCTCGACCTAGTCCTGTTTTCGACCACGGATAGGACAGCGGCAATGCTGAAGCAGGGCTGAACCTAACGGTGTTTTTCGTTTTCGTTTTGTTTTCGTTGTCACTCGCTTTTGTCTCGAATCCGCCTTTACCGCAAAACGAAGTCGAAACGAAAACGGCCCACGAAATCGCCAAAAACACTGTTTAGGTCCAGCCCTGTGCTGAATATATGATCTCCCAGAAAGTGCATCCTAAGAAAGTGGCCCAACGAAGGCCCCGAATCACCCCGGACGTGCCCGTCATGGGGCACTCCCGCTCGGCAAGCTCGTAATGGGTGCGGAAAAACTGAGCACGATGCCGAACAGCAAGTGCGGCCGCTTCTGGGCCGGCGAGCCTGCGTCTCCAATTAACAACGCCCGCAGCGGCACAGACAGACAGATCAGGCTCCAAACGAAGAAGCAACGCTGTTGGTTTTGGTCCCCAGTCTTTCCGTATTCTGCGTTTGGTACTCAGCGTGGGGGGGGTCTCCCCAAACGCGGGTCAACATCAACCAGTCAGCGCGGCGTGACGGGGGTCAAATCCGCCCCGTCGGCGCACCCGGGGTGGGAGTCCTCAGGGAGTTATCTCTGGCGCGGCAACGTCTGCCCGCGCCGGGAGTCGAATTGGAGGTAGGGCTGTCGGCGGGGGTGGCGCCCACCCCCACGCTTGTTACCAAACGCAAAGCATAGATTGCGATCGCACCGACAAACGCTTTGGAAGCCCGGTATGGCTACGGCAAAAACAAAGACGATGGCCAGTGCCAAACGTTGCCCCAACCCGACAGCGGCCGCTTCTGGGCAGGCGGCCCTTCGTCTCGAATGGACAACGTCGGCGGCGGCGCTGACAGCGAGTCCCGTGCAAAATGAAGAGGAACTGCTGTTGGGCATCGTACCCGTGCTTCCCGTACCGATTCCGACCGCACCGACCCACGCGCCGTGCTCCTCCGCCATCAATCCGCGCGCCGGCGCCCCTGGCGCATCCTGCGCGTCGGCTCCGCGCCAGGACAAGCACCAACACAGCGCCAGCACGGCGGCGGCGGGAGCCCTCGCACGGGCGGGCGGCAAGAGTCACGGACCTCCAGGAGGAAGGCCCTACTCGGATCTTACGCTGCAGGTGCGTGCGCCCTGTCGACTGCCTAGGAAAGGCTCGGCTCGGACTCGGGCTCGAATCGGACATCGCAGCTGCTTGGAAGTGCTCGGGTCGGAGCAATTCCACGGCCTGTTCAGCTCGGGCAGTTCGACGACCTGCTCCGGTCGGGACTTGGAGGTTGTCCCCAAAGTGAACAGTCGACGGCAACGCGATGCTGGAGGAAAGCATTGCCTAGCTCTTTTCCAACCTTCGATCCTTGCGGCCAAGGTCGATGAGAGCCGTCACTGCTCCGCTCTGTCCCGCCCTTGTCGTGCCGCCTCCCCGTCCCACTTCAACGCTGCACGAGTTGGACACTTCGGACGCCCAACCCCAGGACTGTAGAGAGATGAATAACGAGGGGCAGATAAAAAATCAAGGTTTTGTGGGCGTTTTTGTTTTTGGGAGGCTTTCCATCACAACGCTTGGATTCGTGTCGGATTTTTCGTCACACCGCACCCCTGGAAGGTTCAGGGGTCGCCGAAACCAGACTATCCTGGCAACTTGGGAACAGCAGCCTACAGAGACTCGAGGAGCATCGGGTCCGCAGTTGTTTTGCGCACTCGGCCTCTGCAGGCACACTTCGGGCCCCAGGGGCGAAAGAAAACTGTCCGGAATTGAAGGGGCCCTGGGACACACAAATATATACACACAAATAACAAGATTCTTCATATTTTCCCATATGTTCTGGGTTTTTGTCTTCCCCCCACTTCCCATATTTCCCCATATTTACCTGGGGAATCAACGATTAATTGTGTCTGTGTGTTTTTTTTCCCTCCTGAGAAATGAACGAACAAGGGGCCTGCAAAGAACATGCCGAAAATCCCTGGGCATCGAGTCCGAAACACGGGGTCGAAAATATGGGGGGCGAGCGGCCAAAACGAAGCCCCCTCCAAGGGGGCCCCAAACAGCCGACGAAATGCACCGTCGTGAGCACGACCACGAACGCCGGATGCGGAATCACGACAACCAGCGGGCCACGGATCACGACCACAAGCCACGAGCAACCGAACCCCAGACCACCGAAGCACGAATCACGGGCCAACAACGACTGGGAAACCACAGACGCGGACCACCGAGGACACACACTTTTTTGATCTGCGGGGCGAGAGCGAACCTCCTCCGCTACAAGCTAGGAGGGCTACGCAGAGCTTAAATTCAGGAGACAGGGCACAGGAAGGCGGGGCCTCAGGCGGCCGGAGCGGGCGAGGCCCAGGGGTGCAGGAGGTGCCGAAGTGGATGTGCAGGAGCAGGACCGCCGCGGACTGGCACCGGGGGCGACGACACGGAGGGTGGAGGAGAAGGTGTCGCCGTCGACGGCGCATCACGAACCCCAGCCTCAAGCGCTGCAGAGGGGGACGCGCCACTTGACCAGGTCGACGCCCAGGAAGACGAGGAGCACCACGAAGGCGATGTGCAACGTTGCGAGGCCCAGGGTGGTAGCCCAAACCACGACCAGGCGGCAGCTGCTTGAGGAGCGGCCTCAGACGAGGGGACCGTTCATGACCGACAGGATGCCGGTGACTTGCAAGGAGAAAACAAGCCCTGCACCGCCAGCGCGCGAAGACGGGCAGCAGCCACACACGACGCGCTGACATCCGCATTGCCGAGGGCCGGGCCGGAGCCGCGCAGCGCCACGGCGAGCGGGGCCGCCGAAGTGGCAAGGTGCAGCGCCCGGCGCTGGGCCGAAGCCGCGCAGCGCCGGGCGCCGCCGCCATGGGAGGGGGGGAAGCGAGCGCGGGGGGTGGAAGAAGCGAACAGGGAGGAGAAAGGCCGGCGCCCACCGCCAGCCGTCGACGTGCCAGCCCGCACCGCAGGTGCCCACGTGGGGAGCTGGGCCCCCAATGGGCACAGGTAGGGCACAGGTAGGACACATGGCCCCAATACATGTTAAAGACAGGGGGGTGGGGGGGAGCAAGCAACACGGTCGGGAAACAGGCGGGCCAGCAAGCGGAAGCTGCGAGTGGACCGCGCGCGTCTCAAGCGCGCCGGGGGGAACAGGTAGGGGAGCAGGGGGACACACGGTCCCAAGCCAGGTGATGAGGGAGGGGGAGAAGGGAACAGGTGGCGGGCGCGGCCACCGGCGGGCAGGACCAGGACCTTGCCGCAAGTTGCTGGGAGCGTAGGAGGGCGGTCGCGGCGCGCTGTGTCAGTCAGGGGAGGCCTGGTTGCAGGCTGGTCAGCGCCTAGGGCGCTCTCTGGCCCAATTGTCGCTGTACCCTGAGCTGCGCGCCCGGCGCCCCCCCGCGCCCTTCACCTTTGGCAACCTCTCTTTATTTCTGGACGTCCTGGTACAGGGCCTTCTCCCGGCCCCAGCCCACGTGGACGCCGGCGTCGCGAGACCACGCCTCCACGCGATGGTTGCTGCTGCCCATGTATTCCAGAAATTTGCCGATTATCCATTGTTGCCAGCAGTTCGGGTCGGAAGCGACCTAGTCTTTGGATTTGCCATTGCCTTGCTCCTTACACATATGCCTGCACCACAAGTGCCAGGCTGCAGTGAAGTGGCATCCTCCCTCGGCCTGCAGCCTCTTCAGGTGCGTGACTGCTGTCTCGCGCGGGCGGCGCTGCCAGCTGACGCGGAAAATTGTCCTCGGGCAGCTGGGGTCAGGGCAGCGGCGGTCGCCCCCGTGGTGAGAGCTGCGCGGTTCTGGCCGGCGCCAGGGGGTTCGCCCTGTGCCCCTGTCGCTGTCGCGGTCCTGATCCCAGTAGCGCTCCCTGCTTCTGTCCCAGTCGCTGGCGTCTTGCTTGCGCCGCGGTGCCCCCGCTGCGCCCTCGTTGCGGTCGCGGTCTCGGTCGCGGTCGCGCTCTCCAGCGCGGGCCCGGTCGCCGGTTCTCCTGGGCGCGCGCCTCGCCGCAGTCCCCCATGACTCCCAGGCAACTGGCTCCCGCGCCCTGCCGCGCAAGCGCTCTAGCTAATCCGCAGGGAGGGGGTCGAGCGCGGGGCGCCTGTCTGCTGGGCCTTTGGATCTGGGCCGCGCGCGCAGCGCCCGGTTGTCGGCAGCGGCCGTCAAAAACACGGTCGGTTCCGTGGGTGCGCAGGCTGGCTGGGTCTGATAGGTACTGCTTGAGTCGCGCTCGGGATTGCTGCGTCGTTAGTTTCGAGGGCTCAACTTGGCTTGGCCTTTCTCGACTGCGTCGGGGTCTGAGGATGGGGAGACCACATGGACCGTGCTTAGGGCCTCCGCGAGCCTCTGCTTCCTCTCTGGTTCCTGGTCGTCGCTGGTCAAATCGGAGTCCTCCTCCTTAGGGGGCGCGAGGGGTGCAGGTTCGTAGGTGGGATCTTGCGCGTCCGTACGCGGCGCGCAGGGTTCGGGCTTGGAGCCGGGCTGAGTCCCTTCTGGGGACGTCGCTTTGTCGTCCTCGATGTTGGCGCCGAGCCAGGAGCTGGCGGGGGCCGCTGGCGCCTGCGCCCCGCGCGCCTCGTCGCAGGTCCTGCCCAGGAAGGCTGCTGCCTGGAGCGCTGCGTCGCCGCCGTTCACGCGTGGCGCCCCGGTGCCGGCGCCCCAGATTTCCAGCCACTCGTTGCCGATCTGGACGATAAGGGCCCACCCGTCCTTTGCGCGGGTCAAGACGTTGAGGGCGGGTCCGAATACCGCTCCGTCCAGGGGTCGCGTCGACAGGGGCTCGGCGCTGTCCGCTGAGCTGACCTGGCGCGGGGGAGGGCGCAGCTCCTGATGACCACGCAGTCGCCGCCCTGGACGCACGGGCTGTTTGTTGCGAGCGGGCAAAAGGAGCCCTGGATGGGCGCGTCCGGGACTCGCCCTTGCTGTCGTTCGAGGCTGCTGGGTTCCGCGCTCTCGGCGGGGGGGGCCCGGTGCCGCGCTGACGGCCGCCGGCGCCCCGACGGACTTGGTAGCCGTGGGTCGCGTGGCGGGGGGGGCCAGGGCCGGCCCGTCGCCACGCGGAGTGGGCGGGAGTGAGTCGCCACCGTGCGTGGGCGGGCAGGGTGTCAGGCGCCTTTCCTTGGCCGGTCTTGGGCACTCAGCCTGGTTGGAGGCGCGGTCGGGACGCAAGCCCGCTCGGGGGGCGGCGTGCTGCCGGGGCTCGCTGCTGGACGTGCGCCCGGCGGTTGGTTGAGCTGAAGCGGCGCCGCTGGGGTCTGTGCGCCTGACCCCTCCTCGGATGTGCGCCTCTCCATCACCTTTGTCCCTGATCTGCGCCGCCACCTTTGCGCGCGTCTCCCTGGCCGCCGGTTGCCGCCCCCAGGTTCGGCGCTGCTGATTGCCCCTGGGACGCGGCGGGAGTTGGTTGCGGAGGCGCTCCTGGTAGACGCGCGCCTCCTCGTCCCAGGCGGCGGCACGTCGCTGCACTTCCTTCTGGTGGGGGCGCGCTGCGACCCCTGGCGACGAGGCGGGGATGTCTGGTAGCGCGGCGAGAGGTCCGGCTCCTGCGCTAGGGTATACGTCCGGGCCGCACCTGTCGAGCACTTGTCTCACTGATGACGGGGTCATGTCCCGTTGGTGGATCAGGCATTCCTTGCAGTACCAGCCTGCGTGCCAGCGCTTCGCTAGGAACATGTCCCTCATTAGCTGCATGGGTGGGAGCCCGTGGACCAGGCTAAAGCCGGCGCGGAGCCCCGCTGGGTCAGCGGCGCGCCCGTACATGCCAGGGGAAACCTGCCCTGGCCCCCATCTGTGTCCCTCTGTGCCCGGGGGGCAGCCGTCGCATCGCCAGATGCCGACATCCATCTTGTAGAAGTGAATGATCAAGCGATCGTCGTTCGCGCTACTGGCTGGGAGGGTGGCTCCGACATTGAACGGGTTCAGGTCGCCTTCCAGCGGGACCAGCAGCTGCTCCTGGGGCGTTAGGGCCGCAGGTGCCGGCGTCGGGCACAGGGCGCGCGTTGTGCGCACAGGCACGCCG